TATATATATATATATATATATATATATATATATATATATATATATATATATGTATGTATATATATATATAAGACGTAGCATATTTCTACGAAAAAAAAGGCAGTCTCTCACAAAGAGTTGTCATATTATCTCATCCCCTTCGGTTCTGTCTAGGGTTAATTTATTTTTTTATGTATTTATCAATTTTTAATCTGTTTAAATAGCATTACACTTTAGGCGTTTTAGGCGTTGAGGGAAAAGATTGGGGTTACTGCTGCCTCCTCAGACTTCTTTCTGTACCTGTGAACTGTCCATTTGAACGCCCGTATAGTTTATTTTTTTTTGTGTTTGTTCATTGAATTATATTATTAATTTTATTAATTTTTGTTGGTGGTTAAGATCGGGATCCTTGCTGCGGCTACAGACTTCCTTCTGTACCTATGAGCTTCTTATTCAAACTCCTCTCGTCTGCCCACACCCCCAGTTGCTGCCCCCGCGTCCACTGGATGCTCAGGTGGGTTTTGTTTCTTTTTAAAGTATTATATTTCCATTTGCATGGATTGTGATATTGTTGCTTCAGCAGCAACATGCAAGTAAATATATTGTAAGAGAGAAGGACTTGCTTTTGTTTCTTCGTGCGTTCACAGCCAGTACTCGGCTACCCCGAAGGAGCCTCGGTTATACACAACCCCGTTCCTGCTAGCTGGAGAGGTTTAGAGGTTAAACAAGACAATAAAGAATATGTAAGCTTTTCCTGTGTTGCTCTTTTTGTGTCGTTTTTGTATACTGGTTTCGTTGCTCGCGCGTTTGCCAGAGTACGTACGTGTTTCTGTTTCACCTCATATTTTTTCCGTTGTATAATATTTCTTTTTATGTACATCAGTCTCGCCTTTTTCGTGCACTTACTGCATGAATCTTTTTGTGTCAATTCATTAACACTTCTCTGCGTAAGCGTGATAAGAAATCCCATCTGCAGCACAACTCTGCAGTCCAGCAATAGTTTAATGCATTTGATGCATTTAACCCTCTCAGCTTGAAGCAGCAAACAGTTGAATTGAGAGAAACAGAGGGTTTATGGTTTAAAATTGAGGGTTTCTGGTGGTGGGTGCTATGCGTAGACGAAGAAAAACAAAACGAACGCCAACCCGCTCGCCAATGTGCGGCTCGAGGCGGTGCCCCAGGAGATGGCTGAAATGTTTAAAGACGGGTAGGAAATAATCTGAATATATATATATATACTTTAACAAAATAAACATGTATATACTTATATATCTTTATAAGCATACATCTATGGACTGCGGGCGTAGGGTGCTGGGCTGTGCGTGCAGCGCAACTCCGTATTTCGGTTTAAGCTCGGACGTGCGTAGACGAATATCTGTGGTGGAGCCACAATTCAAGATTGGCGATATCGTCAGGTGGGTGTTGGGGTGTATATCCACCTTAGCACAGCACATGGGCTCTGCTTCTCTTTCGTGGTTATCTTTTGAGCCAATTTCTATATGAGGAAAAGCCTGTATAATTTACGATATATATATATATATATATATATATATATATATATATATATATATATATATATATATATATATATGCATTGATGTTTCACTTAATTGCTACGTATATATGCATATATTTCACTGCCCTGGTGCCCTGTTGTAAAGTGTTGTATTTTGTTCTTTTCTGTTTCTTTTGTTTTTTTATTGTTCGCCAGGCACCGCTGGTGGCTGTACACTGCAGTGGTTCTTTCCTGGGATTTCTCCTGCAGAGCACCTGAGGAGTGGCTGAGCCGGGTGAGGATTCGAATTTGAATTTCCTAGCTTTTCTACAGATCACTGAAGTGGAACATATGCACACTCAGTGCAGTTTTTCTTCATATATTTTTTCCCTATATATATATATATATATATATATATATATATGTGTTGCTTATATTTTCAGGTGTACGCGGTGTATCCTGAGTCGCTGAAGTCGACTCCTCACTATCTTGTTCTGCTTCACAGCCCCAAAGATAGAGCCAACGCCAACGAGTGGCCTTTGTACGCCTACGTACCAGAGGTGAGCTGGCAGCTTACTCTTTACTTTTACATGCAGTGTATTTACAATATAATAGTGGTTATTGTAATAGATTATGTTAAATATTTATATAATATAATAGTTGTAACAGTCTAAGGGGTGAAATAGTTATAGTAAAATGAGATACAGAAATTTTGTATATATAATATGATATATTGCTGGATACTAACATATAAAAACTTTTCTTGTGTATATATATATATATATATTCTCTGCATGCATTGGCTGCTGCAGGCGGTGCTGGAGTTAACGCCTTCGGATGTATCTGAGTTTGTTCACCCGGCAATTTCATCTTATTTTGAGGTCAGCAAGAAGTTGAATTTATTTGTTTTTTTTCTTTTTTATTACTATGCAGCTGTAGATGTAATACAATTGAATAGAAACGCGAAAATAAATGATAAATAAGCAACAAGAAGTAGCAGCCAATACACAGCAACGACAACACACAGAGAAAACAAACAAAGAACCGAGACAGCCAACACAAACGAGAGCAACTACAACAGCGACATAAAACACATCTAAAACAAAATAACACATACAACAGAGATAAAAGAAACGAAAGAAACAAATAAAAACACAAATAACAAACATAAACTCCTTCATTGTTGCTGCGGCTTCTTGTGCTTATCGCAGCCCCTTAAAGGAAACCGCCGCCATTTCGACGTCCTCAGCGACAGCCTCTTAGCGACGCGTTTCCCCGCGGACTTAGGCTTATAAATGTACAGATTTTGAATCCTTACAACTTGATCCGGTTGTTATATATATATATAAATATATATATAAAGATAAATATATATAAATATACATATATATTTATATATAAATGTATATTTATATTTATTTATTTGGAGAATATAACAAATACGATGGATGTACAAGAAATGAAATATATTTATCTTTGCACTATTTGTTTATCTGCTGATGTATTTATGTATATATGAAACAAAGCAAAAGCGCAGCAACACGGCGATGGGAGACAGAATGTCGCCGGAAGCAGAGCTCAGCTTAGACGCGCTGACGCTGGTTGCTGAGTTACAGCAGCAGCAGCAGCTGCAGCAGCAGCAGCAACGCGTGCTGCTGCTGCTGCTACTGCTGACAGTCGCCGCCGGCGGGCTCACAGAGCCGGCCATTTCATCGCCCATTGCTGCTACCGCTGCTGCTGCTGCTGCAGCTGCCACTGGCGCTGCTGCTGCAGGTGCAGCTGCTGCTGCAGCAGCTCCTGCTGCTGCTCCTAGTACTCAGCAGTTTGCTGCTGCAAGTTTTGAAGGCTGGCCAGTCGCGCTGCTGCG